AGTAATTTTATATAATTGTATTAAGCTCCTCCAGTATTTAATCGCTATCACAATTGTAATTTCAGTTATATATGCGTAATACTGTGTTCTTTCATATTTTTTTGTACTCTAATTGTACGTTCGCTCGGTTCTGCTGTATATGTGCTTATGAGATCATTATTAATGTTTTGTTGAGAATAGAAAATGTTTCACGTTACCCGTGTAATATCTTCTTTCCATCAGATATAATTGTTACTAAGGTTGCCTAACGAGGCGCCGCTAATCAACCATGGTAATTTAATAGGTCGAAATTCCAGTGCAGTTTACTTCGGTGCTTCTCGGTGAACTCAGAATAAACGGCGGAAAACACATTTCACATTTCGAAACTTGAGTTTCGCGTATTACGTTTCACAATATGTCAAAGAGAAACTAACAAGACGCTGAAATAATTAGCGCAGATGAGTGAAATACGAGAAAAATTAGAAATTGCAATGAAAAAAAAAAAATATATTATAAAAATATGCAAAATACTTTAGGCGGTATAAAATTTACATTCTATTTTTCCATTAACTAATCGTTGTGTATCTCGATATAAAAATAACTTTGTATAGTTGATAAATCGGTATTTTATTGTTTGATAAGTATATTTAAAGAGTTTGGAGGACTGGAATGCGATTTGGTTTGTAAATATCCTGTCGATGGATATCGGATATTTTTTTAGCCGAGCGAATTTATGAAGCACAAAAAATTCCGCATTAGCAAGTCGATGGAAATGTGTTTTCGAATTTAATGAAAAACGCAATCGCCTGTTGCCTCGGCAAACTGCATAATACGTAACGACATTCGGTATGCAGAGCGTAACGAGATCAGTCGATGAATACGGAGAGGTACGTGTAATTATAACGTGCAATTAATCGTCGCGTGATTATCGCGATACTAATCCTCCCATATATCCGTCGTAAAAAGTTGCAAATACGGGACGCAACGTGCGCCCATACGATCCGACATTTATCTCGATTCGTGACCATTTGTAACCAAAGTCGGATGAGTTGTCACGCGATTCACGGCAGGCAGGGATTTGGAATTTTCGCACGCCGGGAGTACGGAACTGCGTATCTCGTGCGGGGAAAAAGAAAGAGTAAAAAGAGGAAAAAAAAGAAAGGGATAGGAAACGAATCACACGTTCGCGTAGATCAAAGAGCTCGCGTAGGCCGAGTCGCGAATGCGGCTAGTCGCCTCTGCGGAAATACCATGCGTAAAGGGAATGAGGAAGAAGGAGAGAGAGAGAAAGAAAAAGAGATACATATCGTATCTTTATATCGCTCGCGAGAAAGGTCGATTTCCGACTTGCGGAAGGTTATAGACCTTGCCGCTTCATTATTAACGCGATGTGTATCGATTTTGTCTGCCTGCCTCCGTAAACTCGTTTCTATTCTCGCGGAGGAGAGTCTCCCGCCGCCGAGAATCTCTCGCGTCCTCTCCTTCGGAGGACTTCCGCCGTTTCGAACCGATTTCAAAAATTAATCGTCAGGTCGCGCCCAGCGAGTAACGACAGCAAGAGGCTTTTTGTTTCCGCAGAAGGGATTTCCTCCGCGGATTTCCTCCGCGTGACGAGAACGAATGAAATTTTTATCGGACCGAAACGGCGGACGGAAAACAAAACGAACGGCGCTTTGTCGAGTCGAAATTGTTAAATTGCGTAATAATTTTTATCGCGAACAGCTGCGAGAGCCGATCTACTGACCTTCTGAATTTTAGAATGCGCTATTATGGGAGAAATGTATTGTTCACGTTAACGTTATATTAATCTATGCGCGGCACCGCGTAGGTTTTCGCTAAAAATACGTCTCCGAGGCGAATGGAAGTGGCTCGCGACGAGTTAATATATATTCCGTGCTTCTGCCGCGTCATAGATTTTTACGAAAAAAAAAACCTATCAAATTCATGGATACAATTCAGACAAGACAAATAAAAAATTTTCTTTTTTAACGAGTTTATTTTAAAACTTATTACTTATTAATTTATCGTGATTTTCGGAACTGAATTATACATTTTTTGAAATAATTTGTATTAATGCATGAGCGCGAATTAATCATGAGTTACTCAACAGCTCTCAGTAAGCAAGATCTATAGTTTTCAGTAAGATAGAAATTCTGCGAGCTTTCCTACCTGATTTCGTATCCATCCCAAAAATCTGGGGGTAAAATCAACTGACTTTCGCGTTCATCCCTCGTGCCGGCGGGCAATCGAGGATCCAGAAGGCCGCGACGTCGATTTCATCACCATCGACTTAGCGATGTAGATCCCCCACGCGGAATATCATCCGCTCTAAAACTGCAATTGGCTCGATCGATGCTGCGAAGTACTTTAATGTTTGCTCGCATCGATGAGACAACCCGAGACAGCGGGATGCGACGATATTGTTCAGCTTTCGCGAGAGAACTCTCGAATCCGCCGCGCGCGCGAATGAACGACGGCGAGCGGAGGGTCGTCGCCGTTTGGCCGGGAAGACCGACCACCCCGATGTATATCCTTCTCTTTGATGCCACGTGCTAAAGTCGTCGGGCAAAGAGAGCGAGGGAGAGAGGAAACGGGCGCGAGCGACCACGTCGGCGCGTCGCGACGCCTCCATCGACGCGCGCAATCGGCGCTTCCGGGGTGCCGTACGAGAATCGTGATTGTTATCGCGGTTGCTCTTGGAACGAAACAGAAATCGGCAAATCCGCTGTGAACCTCGCGATCATGTTTGCAATTATTTCGAAAGTGCGATCAATGTAATTCTTAATCGATTTCAGACGAAAGAATAAATTCTCTTTCTCCTTTCCTGTACGGAATGACATGCACGTCGCTCGCTTCTGACATTAGTTAGATTACCGATTTTCAAGACGTCGAGAGACGTCTTTATTATCAAGTTTTGTAAATTAATAACGTAAAATGCGTACTAATACGAGTAGATAGATTTCTTCTCGATCGATCGTCATCTGAGGATTTTTAATGATCGACAATATGTGCAAATCAATGATTACTCGTCATTGGCTGTACCCTCATGTGGAGTGTAAAGGGTTAATTCACCGATTATTGGATTACCGCTTTCGTATCAATACATGTCCGGGAACATCGAGAGAGAACATTGACAGCATGTAATCTGTTTCGATAGGTATAAGTACGCGATATCATCGAGACAAGTGCTAAATCAAAGCGATGCAAAATCTGACAATGTCAGAAGACATTTCACTTCCGGTCGTAATGTTCCTTCTATCATCATTCTTTTAAATCTTATTTGTAAGCTTAATGATCGATTTTATGAGCTCGTAAATACTCAACTCTTTGACGGCAACCTCGACGGCAATATTGATAAGATTTTCTATATATCTTTCAAGGATGATATATGAATAAAGTATCGTATAATTTAAGATAGAAAAATGTTTTTCTGAAAAGCATACGTGCTAGAAATTTCGAATAAATAATTGCTATATTCGGCAACTTATGGTTCATATTATTTTTTTCATTTAGAATAGAATATGATCATTTAGGACAAAAGATTTCACTATTATGATTAGAAAATGGCTGAAGTTAATTACATATCACTAATCTATAAATTTTATAATTTTTTTAATGCCTAAGTTACCGTGTAGATAATATTTTCTTTACGAACATCTAACAAATATTCATAAAATGAAAATTATAAGAAAGATGAAAGATATCCCTTTGCATTACGTTTGTTTGTTTAAATTTGAGTGAAAATTATTATAAAAGATATGTGACACGACGGAACAAGTTGAAACTATAGCTTCATAAACAACCGCAGTCCTTGTCTTGCGAATCGATAATCATCAATGATGATACTGTTACTGTCCTCTACAAACTTCACAATATTTTTTTTGCATCTGATTTTTTATCGTTGTACTTTATCATCGCCATATGAAATTCTTAAGTAAATTGAAAGTCAACGAGTGAGCATGTAATCACACACAACATACACACGCACACGCGCGCGCGCGCGCGCGCACACACACACACACACACACACACACACACAGAATGTGGATCTATCAACTGAAAAATAACTGGACACGGTGTTCCTTTCCTCACTTTATCATTGTTAATTAACGTGCAACATGGAAATTAAGCAATTTAATAAAAAAAAAACGTTGAAACTAATATGGCAAATAAAAATTAAAAACAATAAATTTTCTTCTTATTCAAAGAATCTTAAATTTCAAATATGAAACTGTTGTATACGCATTGTATAAATATACAATTACATTATATTACAAACAAGATTTTTTTTTTCTGTGAAATTAAATAAATTTCGTTACTTAAATAAATGTTTCAGAGTATCAACAACAAGTGGAAGGAAAGTTGCTAAATTGATTTTAAGAGCAATACATTGGAATTGGATAATCCATAATAATGAGTAAACTTCAGCTTCGCTACACAAGAGATACTATCACTCGTCTTACGCTGCAGCAAAAAATATTCTATGAAAAAAATGGATATTTAATATTTCCTCGCTTGCTACCGCTAGATATAATCGATAAATGTCACAAAAGGTATATCTAGCTTGAAAGTACAAGTGCATCAAACTTTCATTATTTTTCTTTAAAAGCTTCAAGCTAATCTAGCTGGAAATCTAGCTTCATACAGTGAATTTATATAAAAAGTTTTTCGTGTAAAACATATATAAATATTTTGTGTAAAATATATATATATATATATATATATATATATATATATATATATAATTGTTGGCTCTCCTTTGATCACTGCAGTTTTTTTTTAAAACGTTGGAAATGCACGAAATGATATATTTATTTAATGCAAATAGATATGAAGAGATATGGGCGTAAAAGATCTTCAAACTAGAAATTGCTGCGCGGAGACATTAATCAGAATAATCTTGTGTCGACGGTCCATATTATGAGATAGCTTAATAATCTGACAGTATTATTGAAACATTCGACGTTTCGGTAAATTTGCTGACTGATATTAACGCGCGTGCAAATATAGTGACTGGCTATAATGTCACAGATGACTGATCATTCAATACGAAATATCTGAAATGTCGGCGTACAATAAATTGAAGATATAAACTTCGTTTTTTACGGGTATTTTATCAATCACGTGCGTGGATTTCGACAGCTATTTGGGCTTGATATTTTTATCTAAAAAAAAAATCAAAAGATTTGTAAAGGCTATACATGAAATGAATATTCGAACTGCTATATTTTTGTTTTTCAGATTCGACGAAATTATCGAAGGAAAGGTTTCGCGAGATGGAATCACAGTAATGTACGATATAAAAGACAAGAAATCGGTAAATAAAATACAAGACATACACGGAGACCCAATATTCCGTAAATATATCGAATTTGAAAAGATCCTTGACATAGTCGAGTGTTTTACGGGACCGAATATTCTGGCGATACACAGTATGCTCATTGCGAAGCCGCCCGATATTGGATTTGGAAGTTCAAGGTAATTATTAAAATCATAAAATCTTCAAAAATAATTTAAATATTTTTTTTATAGTTTATAGCTTGATATAAAACGAATAAAAAATACAACGTATTCTCTTAGACATCCGCCGCATCAAGACCTTTATTATTTCCCGTTACGACCAGCCGACTACATAGTGGCCGCATGGACAGCCATGGAACCCTGTGACAGCAAAAATGGGTGTCTTTACGTATCGCCTGGATCGCATCGTTTAGATCAATTGTTCCTTCACGGTTATCCTCCGGAATCGGAAGGAGTGGTGAACAAATTTTATCACGGCGTACATGTAGGATCTCTCTTAATTTCTTCTTATCCAGATGTTAATCTTCCTGTATCATTTTAATTAACGTTCTTTCATTAAGGAACTACCTTCAAATCTCAACCCTTGGGTAAATCTTGAGATGCAACCTGGTGACACGGTATTTTTCCATCCGCTGCTCATTCACGGATCTGGCGTTAACAAATCTGACCGAACGAGACGAGCAATTTCCTGCCATTACGCAGCAGCGGATTGCAGTATCGTCGATGTACGTAAGCGATAGACAGAACATACGAGTCCGCAAAGAGACAGTTTGAAGATTTTAACATGCTCATGTATTTTTTCTTTTTTTATAGGATGATCCGCGTCAGGATAGCATCAGAAATGAAATTTTAGAAACAACGCATAAAAAATATCCCGGCGTAGAAATAACATACACGGATATATGGCGCTACAAGTCCTCGCTCGTGCGTGGGTTACGAGCGTCTTTATAAAACGTTTCAAAAATGAATTATTGACTAGATTTATCAAAATGATTATTTCTTGATAAAATAATAATTAGATAAGTTTAGCATAAGGCCGAGATAATGTTATTGAATTTAGTAAACGGGAGTAATATTCGGGAAACGGGTAGATAAGTAATATCACCACAGAAAAAGAAGTAACGACAACGGCGGGATTGTCGCCGTTATTATTTAATGAATTAATATTACGTTGATATCGTTGCGAGATATAACAATGCTTTGCGAGGGGATCCTTGTAAGTATTTTCGTGTCGAACACTGGAGCTCGAGGTGCGACAAGTAGCCAAGCAAATCTGGAAACGATCTGTACGAATAAGTGCTATCCCTACGTCCTTTTGCACTTTTGCAGAGCCCAATAGAATATCCTTTCGACTTTTTATTTGCTGACAAATTTAAATCGAGATAAAAATTTATTTATAGATACTTTTATGTGTTTCTGTGTAACTTCAAAAACAAAATGTATAAAATATAAATAACATTACAGAATAAAAAATTTACCTTATCAGGATGCAGGCAGCAGGAAACACAATATTCGTAAATAGTACAGCACCCTTGAGGATTGCACGTTTTACAACTATATCTCTCTTTTTTGACCGTAGACTTTTCGTTCTTAGAAATCTGCCTCTGTTCCACTATACAACATCCATTTGAAAGGAGATCATGTCTTGAACATACTATACCACGATCATCAACTATCAAGCCTTTTCCCTGATCAAAGTAACATATATGATAAACGACTTGTCAAATTAAATGAAACAAAATAAACTTGGACAAACACTCACTTGAATAGAATTACGACAAGATTCTGCAGACACATCACTGTCATTTAAATTAGACATATCCATATTTCCTGCATTATCATTAGCTGCTTGATCAAATACTTCAATTGGCCATAATAGAGATTTATCAGATGCTTTTAATCCTTCAAGAAATGTGTTGTCATCGGCCATCAAATCTTCATTATTATCATTGATCATCATGGGATCCATATCGATATCATTGTCTAAATACGGCGATCCTTTCTGTAAAGAAAATAATAAAATTTTCTGTGATAAAAGTTACAAAAAAATCATATCATACAGTCACAGTTAGATTATCGACATGATGTGATTTTTAGCTATACAAATTAATACTTGCCTTATCATTTCGGAGTAACGAAAAGGCACAATACGTCAATGACAGGGCGAAGATCAATCCAAGAACAACACGTCGTCTGAGTAGTCTGATCAGACTTATGCAGTTTGGCATCCTTCCTACGTGCCGCTTATACGCTCCTCCTCATCAAAACAGCTTCGAATCTTCCAGACATAGTATTCGCGAGATTAACATTGTGCATATAAAAAAAAAACATCATGCACAATCGTGAGAAGGATCTGAAATCATGGACATCAAAAAGCAATTGTAGATGTCAGAAATTCGCGTGGAGAGATTAAGGTTATAATTATCGAAAACTCGAGGAATCCTCGGAACATTACTTTGATACGTACATTAAATTATCGGCTTCATTGCTTCAACGAGCGAACGAAATGGTTCCTGTCAATTGCCGTCACGTTGATCAAGTCGCATTCATTGATTGCGTTAAAAATAAAATAACCACGCGCCGATGCGCGATGACGAGACAATGAGATGTACCGACATATCTTCAGGTTCAATGACTTGCATGGTAACGCAAATATTTCCGCAGAGATGCCGCAGTAGATGTCGCAATTCATACGATTCTTTTTTTTATAGAATTAATTAATAGTATAAAATAAATTAGTAATATTGGATTTCAAAATATTCTATGATAAATTAAATCTTCTAATGCAAAGAGCTGTGTCAAATCGATAGAATATATATATATATATATA